TATATATATTATTATACATACACACACACACACACACACACACACATACACACACACACACATATATATACATATATATATGTACAAAGCACGACACCACGAACTCGGCATCCCACACACATCATAGACATCGTGCACATACATGCGCAAATACATAGATGTGCAGTTCCCGCTGTATAGGTTCACAAACACATATATATTATGCTTGTCTATGCCTAAATCACTTTGTCTCCAAATACAAAATATTCATTATACAAACACATACGTGTCCGGCTTGTTCATGCTTAAATCACTTTGGATCCAAACACAGGATATCCATGTGACCGAGAGTGACCCGTATGTGCGTCGCCTGGGGGTGCAGCTGATTGGTGAGATGGCTAAGGATTGTGTGCACCCAAACCACTACAACGAACTCATGGCTGTACTACAGAAAGCCGCAGCCACCTGTCCTCCGGTATGTATATAGACTGTCTTTCGTAGTTTTGTACTATGATGCATAGTTTTTCTTACTATGCATAGTTTTTCTTACTGTGCATAGTTTAGTGTGTCTATCCAAGCCACCCGTTCTCCGGTATGTATAAAGACTGTCTTTCGTAGTTTTGTACTATTGTGCATAGTTTTTCTTAGTGTGTTAATACAAGCCACCTCCTCCGGTATGTATATAGACTGTTTCGTAGTTTTGTACTATGTTGTGTAGTGTATTTTTTTTAGTGTGTTAATACAAGCCACCTGGCCTCAGATATGCATATAGACTTGTTTTTTGCACGTGGTCAATTTATCTGCATAGTTTCGTACTATGTTGTTCAGTGTTTCCTGGTGTGGCAAGAGAAGCCACCTGTTTCCTGGTGTGGTAAGAAAAGCCACCTGTCATCAGATATGAATACTATCGCATTGGGTATCATGATATTCATCTACCTTACCTCACCCTTGACCTGTTTCAGTCCATGCCTCACTCACCAGCGTCGCCTAATTACCACGTATATATATATATATATATATATATATGTATATATATATATATATATTGATATACATATATCTATACGCATACAGGAATAACCACACTGGCAGTTTAGGCTATAGCCCTATCGACCCATCGTCCAGTATACATTCACTTAGGCTTACGGCGCGATTGAATCTCTATCAGGGCACTGTCAATGCCCCACTCACCAGCGTCACCTCATCGCCCCGCGGGTCAAAACGGTCCAAAACCTCACGCCTGTCCATCATTGAGGACACCATTACCAAACTGGCCAATCGCAACACCGCCACTCCCTCGGGCTACAACGCCACATCAGACAGCTCTACTACAGGCACCAACACACCCGCAAGTGAGCGAACCGGGAACGACAGTGATGAAGGTGAGATGGATGTCTGTATGTATGTGAGTCATATATAGCTATAGATTTGCGTGGCTAGGTATGCGTGTTGGGTATTTGATGTGTATCTGTTGAATCGCGTAGTAACTACTCCGCCGGGTGACTATGCTACGAATAAAAGCCCTACTACTGCCACTATCGAGTGAGCGCACTGGAATCTGAAACAATTATGACGGATAATG